AGGTATTATGTGTATAACGCGCGATATCGTGTCAATATCCCCCACGCCGGTCTGATTTCAGAAATAACTTGCAGTTATTCGCCAAGTTAGCTGGTCCTTCAAGAAATGAAATGAAACTGCGAGTTCTTTCCGAGTTATAACGATAGGGTGAGATAGTGCTGTTAGAAATAGAGACACAGGTTTAACAGTGCTCGTTTCACGAAAAGCACTCCATAGGACTTTTTAATGATATGAACACGTCTCGCCTTATCACCAAAACTAGCAGTTAACTCGTAGTTTCATGTCATTTATTAACTGCGAGCTAACTTGGAAACTCCGAGTTTGCTCAGAGTTGGATCTATTTTTATGGGTTCCAAAATTTTTGGAATTTATCTTTGTAAACGTTTTAAGATCTTATCGGTGAATTTCTTGCAACGAAATTTCCTGGATTTCCGGTCTTTTTACACTGTTAACTGCGAACTTGAATCTCGCAGTTGACTGCGAATTAACTGCGAGTAATCTCACAGTTAACTCGCGATTAAGTCGCAGTTTCATTGCTATTACCACCCTGATTTTGAGCGCCATTTTTGAAACTGAGCGAAACGTCTAAACACCTAAATTATTCTAAAGCCGTTGTGTGCGGTCCATCAAAATTGTTTTCGGAAGAAACACACATCTTGCCTATGTATATGAGCTTTGGGAAAAAACCGCATTATATGAAACTCTTAGAAATTCCAGAAATATACTATGATAAGAATAGAAAAATCTTCCGAGCGCTATGTGCATTAGCGTTTTTAAACAGACAAATTTAGGTGGATTATTGATTCTCGCGATGATTACGCGAGAGAACGTCTCCATCGCATGCATGATGCTTACTCGGCTTACAAATGTCACACCATCATGAATTGCACGAAAACTTGTCCCAAGGTAGAAATTGTTTCGGGATTTATCCATATCTGCATCATATTTCTTCTTGCAGCATCTAAATCCTGCCAAAGCCATCGGCGAAATAAAGTCACTTCTCACTGGCTTTCGTGACAAGCCGGCTCCTGAACAACCCAGGGCATGAATGGGAAAGAAGAACTCCCATACAAACGGTGGCTCTGAAGAACAGTTGCCAGCTATCTTCTCTAGTGAATATCTTTATAGCTTAGTGAGTAGCATCTTATCTTGTCGTTTTGCGCTCTTCCATTGACGTTAGTACAACCTTCAAGGTCGCTTGTGTCCCATTTTAAGAGTGGTTTTATAGATTTGTGCTACCTCGTTCTTACCGGTTATAAGATAGTAACTATTAGTGTCATTGAATATCGCTGCTTAGTGTCGACCCCTGTAATTTTCTTCCGGTGGTATAAAGTATGTTTACAAAATACATAACTTATGATCTATCTGACACCTCAACCGGCAATTTCCAATCTTGACTCATGACACGAAAGTTCTTGCAGAATAGTGAGAATCTTAGCGCGCGAATCATCCCATGTGGAATAAGCTTTGGTTCCACTTAGCTCCCGAAATCCAATTTTTTTTTCAAGATTTCGCTAGAACTTGCTTAGAGTGGTAATGGTATGCTGATAACGAAGTTGATATTCTGCATGCTAAGGCCTTTTTGTAGAATTAGGTAGGCAGAAGAGGTTTAGAACAATGTTGGCTTAGAAGTGCTCTAGTAGGGTAATTTGACTGTTAAAATGATAT